GCTACTAAATAACCAAGAGATCACTGAAGAAATCAAAGAGGAAATCAAAAACTACCTAGAAACAAATGACAATGAAAACACAACAACCCAAAACCTATGGGATGCAGCAAAAGCAGTTCTAAGAAGAAAGTTTATAGCTATAAAATCCTACCTCAAGAAACAAGAAACAACTCAAATAAACAACCTAACCTTACACATAAAGCAATTAGAGAAAGAAGAACAAAAACCCCCAAAGTTAGCAGATGGAAAGAAATCATAAAGATCAGATCAGAAGTAAATGAAAAAGAAATGAAAGAAACAATAGCAAAGATCAATAAAGCTAAAAGCTGGTTCTTTGAGAAGATAAACAAAATTGACAAACCATGAGCCTAACTCATCAAGAAAAAAAGGGAGAAGACTCAACTCAACAGAATTAGAAATAGAAAAAGAGAAGTAACAATTGACACTGCAGAAATACAAAGGATGATGAGACATTACTACAAGCAACTATATGCCAATAAAATGGAGAGCCTTGGAGAAATGGACAAGTTCTTAGAAAAGCACAACCTACCAAGATTGAGTGAGGAAGAAATAGAAAATATAAATAGACCAATCACAAGCACTGAAATTGAAACTGTGATTAAAAATCTTCCAGCAAACAAAAGCCCAGGACCAGATGGCTTCACAGGTGAATTCTATCAAACATTTAGGGAAGAGCTAACACCTATGCTTCTCAAACTCTTCCAAAATACAGCAGAGGGAGGAACACTCCCAAACTAATTCTACAAGGCCACCATCACCCTTATACCAAAACCAGACAAAGATGTCACAAAAAAGGAAACTACAGGCCAATATCTCTGATGAACATAGGTGCAAAAATCCTCAACAAAGTACTAGCAAACACAATCCAACAGCACCTTGAAAGGATCATACACCATGATCAAGTGGGGTTTATCCCAGGAATGCAAGGATTCTTCAATATATGCAAATCAATCAATGTGATACACCATATTAACAAATTAAAGGATAAAAACCATAAGATAATCTCAATAGATGCAGAAAAAGCTTTTGACAAAATTCAACACCCATTTATGATAAAAACTCTCAAGAAAGTGGGCATAGAGGGAACCTAACTCAACATAATAAAGGCCATATATGACAAACCCACAGCCAACATCATTCTCAATGGTGAAAAACTGAAACCATTTCCTCTAAGATCAGGAACAAAAACAAGGTTGCCCACTCTCACCACTATTATTCAGCATAGTTTTGGAAGCATTAGCCACAGCAATCAGAGAAAAAAAAGAAATAAAAGGAATACAAATTGGAAAAGAAGAAGTAAAGCCGTCACTGTTTGCAGATGACATGATACTATACATAGAGAATCCTAAGAATGCTACCAGAAGACTACTAGAGGTAATCAATGAATTTGGTAGAGTAGCAGAATAAAAAATTAATGCACAGAAATCTCTTGCATTCCTATACACTAATGATGAAAAATCTGAAAGAGAAATTAAGGAAACAGTCCCATTTACCATGGCAACAAAAAGAATAAAATATCTAGGAATAAACCTGTCTAAGGAGACAAAAGACCTGTATGCAGAAAACTCTAAGACACTGATGGAAGAAATTAAAGATAATACAAATAGATGGAGAGATATACCATGTTCTTGGATTGGAAGAATGAACATTGTGAAAATGACTATACTACCGAAAGCAATCTACAGATTCAATGTAATCCCTATCAAACTACCAATGGCATTTTTTCACAGAACTAGAACAAAAAATTTCACAATTTGTCTGGAAACACAAAAGACTCCGAATAGCCAAAGCAATCTTGAGAAAGAAAAACAGAGCTGGAGGAATCAGGCTACCTGACTTCAGACTATACTACAAAGCTACAGTAATCAAGACAGTATGGTACTGGTACAAAAACAGAAATATAGATCAATGGAACAGGATAGAAAGCCCAGAGATAAACCCACACACATATGGTCACCTTATTTTTGATAAAGGAGGCAAGAATATACAATGGAGAAAAGACAGCCTCTTCAATAAGTGGTGCTAGGAAAACTGGACAGCTACATGTAAAAGAATGAAATTAGAACACTTCCTAGCACCATACACAAAAATAAACTCAAAATGGATTAAAGACCTAAATGTAAGGCCAGACACTATGAAACTCTTAGAGGAAAACATAGGCAGAACACTCTGTGACATACATCAAAGTAAGATCCTTTTCGACCCACCTCCTAGAGAAATGGAAATAAAAGCAAAAATAAACAAATGGGACCTAATGAAACTTAAAAGCTTTTGCACAGCAAAGGAAACCATAAACAAGATGAAAAGACAACCCTCAGAATGGGAGAAAATATTTGCAAACAAAACAACTGACAAAGGATTAATCTCCAAAATATACAAGCAGGTTATGCAGCTCAATATCAAAAAAACAAAGAACCCAAACCCCAAATGGGCAGAAGACCTAAACAGACATTGTCCAAAGAAGATACACATTTTGCCAACAAACACATGAAAGGTTGCTCAACATCACTAATCATTAGAGAAATGCAAATCAAAACTACAATGAGGTATCACCTCACACCAGTCAGGATGGCCATCATCAAAAAAATCTACAAACAATAAATGCTGGAGAGGGTGTGGAGAAAAAGGAACCCACTTGCACTGTTGGTGGAAATGTAAATTGGTACAGCCGCTATGGAGGACAATATGGAGGTTCCTTAAAAATTCAAAAATAGAACTACCATATGACCCAGCAATCCCACTACTGGGCATATACCCTGAGAAAACCTAACTCAAATAGAGTCATGTACCACAATGTTCACTGCAGCACTATTTACAATAGCCAGGACATGGAAGTAACCTAAATATCCATCAACAGATGAATGATTAAAGAAGATGTGGCACATATATACAATGGAATATTACTCAGCCATAGAAAGAAACGAAATTGAGTTACTTCTAGTGAGGTGGATGGACCTAGAGTTTGTCATACAGAGTGAAGTAAGACAGAAAGAGAAAAACAAATACCGTATGCTTACATATATATGGAATCTAAAAAAAAATGGTTTTGATGAACATGGGGCAGGACAGGAATAAAGACACAGACTTCGAGAATGGACTTGAGGATATGGGGAGGGGGAAGGGTAAGCTGGGACGAAGTAAGAGTGTAGCATTGAGATATATACACTATGAAATGTAAAACAGATAGCTAGTGGGAAGCAGCTGCATGACACAGGGAGATCAGCTCGGTGCTTTGCGACCACATAGAGGGGTGGGATAAGGAGGATGGGAGGGAGACGCAAGATGGTGGGGATATGGGGATATACATCTGCATATAACTGATTCACTTTGTTATACAGCAGAAACTAACACAACTCTGTAAAGCAATTATACTCCAATAAAGTTAAAAAAAATAGGATAGTAAGGGCAGAACAGAGATTCCACACACTTCGGTGTAGCTGGGAAAATTAAACCTTGTGCCACCAGCTGGCTGTCTGAGGAAGCTTGGACTAGAGGCTCTCAAAGTCATTTCCCACCAAGAACCTGTGACTCATCTGACAGCATCTTACATTCGTTATACACACTGCTTCAGCAAGAAAGGGATTCTGTGTTCCAGCTGAGGAAATCAGGACACATCCCCTTCCTGTTGGATAGAGGAATTGATGAGCCTTCTTCCAAGAGGAAGGTTATGCTCCATTCGTGCATAACTCCTTCCCAATGACTCCCGGTGTATTCTGAGGGATAAAGACCGATTTCCCTGGAAGCTGAGGACAGGTGTAGATGGGAGTGATAAGGGTGCCTCCCAAGATAAACTCTGACTTCTTTCTCTCTCAAGAGCAATTTATTTGGTGTTCGTGTGTCTGAAAATGCCTCTACAAGGAGTGTGATGAAAGTGTTGGCATTTCATATTCGTAACTGTCTGCTGTACATCAAGGTTCCCTCTGGGACCCAGGGAAGCAAAGTTTCCCCTCATCCTTCACAATCCAGTTCAATTCCCTGGCCTTCCTTCCATGAGGGCTTACCTGACAACTCCCAAATGAGATGTCCTCTCTCTCCTTTGAAATCTTAGCATTTGTTACACTTCTCGTTGTTTCACCGGATCTTAATCACACAGAACCTTGCGGCAGCTCTTAGCTGTTTGAATTATACTGGCCAGGATGGACCATCCATTAAGGACGTTGCAACAGACAGAAAACTGGCCCCAGAAGACATCTACATCCTATTCCCTGGAACGTGTGGAGGTGTCAATTTACACGGCAAAAAGGATTTTGCAGACGTGTTCAGGATTTTGAGATGCTGAGATTACCCTGGATTATGTGCATGGGCCCAGTGTAATCACAGGGTCTTTCTAAGAGGTAGGCAAGAGGGTATATTCAGGAGAGAAGATGTGACAAAGGAAGCAGAGGTTGGCATGATGGGCATTAAAGATGGAGGAAAGGCTGTGAACCAAGGAATACAGGTGGCCTCTAGAGACTGGAAAAGGTAAGAAAACAGATATTCTAGAAACTTCGGAAGGAATGCAGCTCTGCTGGCACCTTAATTTTAGCTCCTAAGGCCTATTTTGGACTTGTAACCTCCCGAAGCGTGAGACAAAAATGTGTGTTGTTTTAAGCCATGACGCTGGTGGCCATCTGCTCTGGCAGCAGTAGGAAACAAATACAGTCTCATCTCAGGCCTGGATTAAGGCCTCGTGGGACATTCTGCAGGCTGATAGAATTTTGAACCTATTTGGAAAACAGTGAAATGGCCATGAAACTTTTATGCAATCTATAAAGAAAGTGTGGTTGTATATGGCGAGCCCTGGAGGCTGGCTAAGAAGGCAGGGCCAGCCTGCTCTGAAACTAACAGTTGTTGGGCCTTAGCTGTGCTCTTAGCCTGAGGGGCACTTCACTGGGTGGTTTGGAGCCATTAACAAAGAGAGTCTACATAGCCAACAGGAATCTAGGAAGAGGATATAGTTCATAATTTAGCTTAAAATGGGCAAAACCTCTGCCACTGACATCGTGGGGCTTGTCCCAGGCAAATGGAGCAGGCTTTTCTTTTCTGCTGGACCTTCTCCAGGATTCCGGTGGAGGCAACACGGTGATCAAAAGGCAAAAGGCAGTGGATGTCAAAAGGCAAACTATTTACAAAAATGGTGAAGGAATCCAGCTGTCTGGCTCCCAGTTGAGATGGTGGTAGTTAAGCAGATTTCCTCCAAGCCAAGGAAGCACAAGTCTGCCAGGGAAATCAAATTAAAACAGGAAGGTGGAGAAATGGTCTTCATTAAAAGCATACCTACCACACTATTTCTTCAAGCCAATTTGGCACGGAACCTTGCCTCGACTGCTTTTAATAGTTGTGAACTGATGTTTTATTTAACTGTCCACCTTTTCCTGGCTCCTGATGCTGCCTAGAAAAATAAAGGTTTTAAAATTTATTTCTGATTTAGCTGGCCATGAGTCCAGGCTATTCCCAGGGCTACAGCCTCAGGCAAACATTAGAAAGAATACTCAGTTTTTCAGAATTAAGTATTTCATTCAAAAACTACTAAGCTCCTATGAATCACATTTGGAAACATCTGAACTCTGTCTTTTTTTTTAGAGGGAGTGTTATTTTTGTTTTTGTAGTATTCTTGATTTTTTTCCTCAGTGGTCATTCATCGTTTAAATGTTCTTACTTTTTGAAGTAATTTGTAAGATTTATATTTTTCTATAAAATCCTTAGTTTCATCCATTTTTATTTTTCTTTTAAAAAATTTTATTGAGGTAGAATTGTCATAACATTATGTTCATTTTAGGTGTATCACATAGTGATTCAATGTTTTTATACATTACGTGATCACCACGACAAGTCTAATTACCATCTGTCACCATACAAAGTTATTATGACTTTACTGACTATATTTCTCTATGCTGTACATTATATCCTGTGACTTATTTATTTTATAACTGTATTTATATCCATTCTTCAATTTTACTAGTGTAGTAGCAAATGAAGGGTTTTTTTTTTAAGTCATCCAATTTCTGTTAAATGTCCAGTATTGTATACTTGTGTTTTCTTTTTTATTTCTTGATAGACAAGTTAGTGGATTCATCTGTTTTGCTGTTAAATTTTACAACACCCTAATTGGTTGACTTTTGGTTTAATCCATGAGAATTTATTTCATATGTTTACTTATACTTCCAACCTTTTGAATTAAATATTAATTATGTATAGCAGTTTTGGTTAGTAAGGATGTTGCTTAAGGCTATGAATGTTCCTCTGAGTACAATTTTGTTCACATTCAGTAAGTTTGATTGTGAAGTTTCCTTTATTGTTATTTACTGTTTAAGATTTTGACATTCTCTTTGACCCGAGGTTTTTATTAAATTTTAAAATATTTCTGGGGCTTCCCTGGTGGTGCAGTGGTTAAGAATCCGCCTGCCAATGCAGGGGGCAGGGGTTCGAGCCCTGGTCTGGGAAGATCCCGCATGCTGCGGAGCAGCTGGGCCCGTGCGCCACAGCTACTGAGCCTGTGCTCTAGAGCCCGTGTGCCACAGCTGCTGAGGCCCGTGTGCCTGGAGCCCGTGCTCCGCAACGGGAGAGGCCATCGCGATGAGAGGACCGTGCACTGCAACAAAGAGTAGCCCCTGCTCACCGCAACTAGAGAAAGCCCGTGCACAGCAACAAAAGACCCAACACAGCCTAAATAAATAAAAAATAATAAAATAAATAAATTTATTTTTTAAAAAAATCTGTGAATTATTTGTACTTCTGTTATTTATTTCTTGTTTTGTTGCATTTTTATGCATTGTTTTGTTGCATTTTTTATGCATTTGTTGCATAAAAAAGATGTCAAATTATCCTTGGAATTTATTGAAATTTTCTTCACATTTTATATAATCAAATTTTAAAACTAATGTAGCACTTACATGTAAAAAGTAGGTATATTTTTATCAGATATGAAGCTTGATATACAGAGTTTAAAATTATATAATATACATCATTTGTTTTTATTCTGGATAATTTCCCTATTGCCTTGTGATCTGTCCTTGCTTGTGTATCCTTTGCTATATGCTTTGTTCCTTGTGGATCAGTTTTTTGAGACTTGCACTCTGTTTCTTCTGATTGTGAATATTTGATGCGTTTAAGTATTGTGCCAAAATTTATAATTATTAGTTAATGAAAGTGAGAAAGTAAATAATAGATTGGTTTTCTTTCTACTAAAGAGGCAGAAATTAGGTCATCTATACTTTGCTGTCTGGGTTTTGTTCTAACCTTGTATGGCTCTCTTAGTGAAATTATTATTACTACATTAAATTATTAAATTATATTTCAGTTATTTTCTATATTACATACCTTGACCTTGAAGCATTAGATATCTACAATCTTTTCCTTCAATATAACTTTTTGCTAATTATATTGAAGGAAAAGATTGTAGATATCTAATTACTTGGGTCCAACTCTGTGTTTACATAGATTAAATGTCTGACATTTGCTTTTTCCAAATATTCTTTATCCATGGCCTTTTTATTTTGATTAGTTACTTAGTTGTTTAGACTCCATCCTCAAGTAGGTTTTTCTGGGGGCACAATGCTTCAATCTTTGAGTCTGTCTTTTTATTATCAATACACATGAATAGAAATTTGGCTGGATATAAAAATTCTTGGTTCACATTCCCCCACCCCTTTAAAATTCTATAAATATTGTGCCATTTCTTTCTGGAATATTTTGTTTTTGAGGTTTTGCTTTGAGGCCAGTCTCATTGTTTTCCTTTGTAAGTTATTTTTTGCCTGGCAGCCTGTACCATTTTTTTCTTTATTTTTGAAATTCAGAAGATTCTTTAGGATATATCTTGAAGTTTATTGGTAATTTTGATGAATTAAGGTAAATTTTTTTTCATTCTGTAGATTGAAATCTTCATTAACTCTAGATACATTTTCTTCTATTATGTCTTTGAATACTATTTCTGTCTCATGTGTTCTGTTTTCTTCTTCAAGCCCACTTATCACCTATACACTTGTTTTCTGCCTATTCTACACAAACATCACTGTTTTCAGTGTTTTGTCTCTATAGTTTAGGTGCTTTCTTTTTGCAAGCACTAGTCCATAGCCCTGATTCTATTGTTGTATTATTAACTCTGATCTTTGCTGGATCTTATGACATTTAAATGCAATGGCATTATCATATCAAATGGTTTTATTATTTCTAGCAATGCCCTTTAAAAAACTCAGTCAACTAATTATCCCTCTCTTTCAATTTGTTTCATAGTCTATTTTGTTTAATTTCCTTGAAAGTGTGAGGGAGTTCACATTTTCTTATATTTCATTGTTAAATCTTATTCTAGAGGATGAATGCTATCTAAAATGTATGATGTATACTCATTTTCATTTTGGGGTGTACATTTATAATTGCAGGATTTTTACACAGGTTTGCATTTGTTTGCCTGTGTTGTTTTCCTATTCATCATTTTTTAATGAGAGAAACTCTTTCTGGGCTTGCCATTTGCTCAACTGAAGTGAGTTCTTCTTGTTTCTATTTTCAGTTTACTTGTATACCATTTTAATCTCCCCTTTAAATTTGATCTGGAGGCCTGGATGATGGATTGAAATGATTAGTTCAGTTGTTCAGTAGTCAAAGGTCGAGGAGCTGCAGCCATGGGCAGCTAAAAGAACTTGGTGTAAATTCAGTCTCTCTGCAGTAGTGGAAACAACTCTACCAGGGATGTTTCTGCTTCAAACCATGTTCTCCATATTAGGAAGAGTTTGTCTTTGCTGCAGAGTAAGCCTGTGCCACCATTAGGAAGTCATGCTAGAGAGAAAAAAATGTGGCACGACTAATGCAAACTTCTATCCCAATTGTTGGGCTTACAGGGTATGTCTGACTTCATCTAGGAAAGAAAATCAGAGTAGACTGTTTGCTATTTTGCTTATGGCTGATTCATATACTCAATCTTCATTTTCATAAATTGAGGATCACAGTCTTAAAAAAATTATTATACAGAATTTCTTAATCTTCCCACAACACTGCATAGATCTCTTAGGAAGTGGAGATGGGTTGCCAGCCTTTGATGACTCATTTCAATTTGGACCAGATTGTATCTGACATATATTTCTCAGGGCTTAATGATATAAAGTAAGGATCATCCCCTCTGTTCAGAAATAATAAAGTAGTTTTCTCTATTTTGCTTCTTTTTGGTTCCTTTCAGTGTATATAAGATGATGGGAGTTTTGTAAACCTTCACTTACATTACCATCCTTCCCCAAAATTCTCCATGGAATTCTGTTTGTTAATTTGCTAATCAGCTATTAACACAATAATCTCTAGTGCCTTCTCTCTTTCCTTATCTAATCTTATGTCTTTTCCTTTTCCTAGAAACCACCTCCATTATGTCTGAGTTTTACATATCAAGCAAAAACCTAAGAGTCTCTCCCACTATGTGCAATCTTTCTTGAACATCACACCCTGTGGTAATGTTTCCCTCTTCAACGTTCTGCATTATTGCTGTAAAACATTTGGTACCTGGAACGTACAAAGATATACTATTTTTCTGTGTGCCCTAAACTCTATCTTCTATATTTTAGTTCCCCAATGCAATGCATTACACATAATAGGTTGCCATACATTTTTGATGGTTTGTAACAAATAGCTTTTAAGCACAAAGAAGAAAAACTGTCTTTTTAGATCCCTCCCCAGAAATGACCCCTACCCAACCTCTTCCTAGTCTGACCACCTGGATTAGTTTAGAGTCCACAAAATAGTTTTCATTACTCTAAAGTTTATTTGGTTTTAAAAATCTCTCTGAAATCTCAATTTAAAGGGTTATGAGTAGGTCAACTGTTTAAATATCTCTACCAGCAATGTAAACAGTGAATCAAATTACCTATTCACACAGGAGGCTTTAATTCCTCCTACCCCTTCATCACTCCTTCCCTTTTTATTGTTCTCGCTCATTTTATCCCTGTGGCAAGAAAAGTTAAATGAGACTGAAAAAAAAAAAAAAAGGCAGCTGATTAGGGCAGATGAACAGAGCTCAGGGAGCTATCTTCCTAAGCCCAATCAAGTCTTTAAAACAGATCAATTTTGTTTTCCACAGACAGCCTGGCACCTGAGATATGGGTGATTTAAAAAACTCATTTGTGCTTTCTGGCTGAGCTTTAGCTTTCTAACTCCAAATAG